TGCCATCTAGAACACAGGACAAGTGCATAGAACCTTAGCCTCGGCAAATCTGCACAAACAAACACCAGTCCCTGCTCAATACACAGGGCTTAGGGGAGTTTCCACTCATTAGTTGAGCTTGAGTAGGCTGAAGAAGATTGTTTTTGAGGACTAACGCTTAAATTTATAGCTCTCCTCTGCAATCCAGACCCCCACCAGATACGCTCATTTATAGAAACACTCCATTTCAAGTGCGATAAACACCTCGTGAACGCCAGATAGCAGTGTAAGTCAGTATTGCTCCTGGAAGGTGAGAACAGACGTTGAGGAGTCTCGATCATTCACAACGCTGTCAACTCCAAACCAGCTAGTCTAAAACTTGTACTAGGAATATAAGTAAAAAAACAAGTAGTAGCAACGTCGGCAATTGTAATGCAAGAAAATTGGTTGTAAGCCCAACACAGCCTTGTAACTACATCATTATTAATGTTACTATTCCGTAAAAAGTGACATACATGTCACAGGTTGTACGGGTGCAAAACAAGATTAAATCGTATCCATTTCGAAAGGATCGGGAGAACTTCAAAGTCAAAAAACCAGCCGGGGAAGTAAGCTGCCTGAAAAAAGAGAAAAATGCCGGGCCCACCAGGACTCGAACCCAGGGCCAACTAGCTTGTCATGAGCAAATCTTATTCAAATGAATTTTTGTTGGGAGTTTGCCATTGAATTTTAAGAGGAACTGTCACGTAAAGATTCTTCGCCTTGTCTTGTAATGGTTAAAAACTGTGCTGTATCGAAGGTTGCAGTGCTGCACATGTGACTCTGAAAGGAAAGACAAGGGGAGCTTGTCACCGGCGTCTTTAGCCGATTCATCATTATCACAAGACTTACCTTCGCCTACTAGTAGTTGCAGTTCTTCTTGGCTCGGGCTGTTTTTGTGATCACGGACCGAAAGGTGACATGGTGTTGCTTTCGCCTTTTTTAAACTTAACTGATGGTGCTGTTTTTGCTCATTTTCGTAATGTTCCCCCCACATGAAATGGACCAAGACCTTTCACTTACATGCCAAAAAGATCCTTGTGGAAGAAGTGAAAAAGATGGTAGCTGTTCAAATAACTACGTAGGTACACATGGGTCTCTACCTTTTGGCATTCTCCTTTTGCACAACATACCCATCTTATCCACTCACCCTCACCAGGCAGGCACAGTGGGTTGGTCAAAGACCATGATTGAGATACGAGAGGTACCTGGTTCAAGTCCTGCCTGGGAGCGGTTTTCCAGCCGTGCTGCTACCCACAGTCAACTGGAAACTTGTGGCCAGGCACAAGGGGTACATGGATGCAGCTAATGGGGTCGTTTTCGGCACTTGTGCCAGTGGTTGTGATACTTGCCAACTTGTACTCTTGACCCTTCCTTACTTTTTGGTCCCGTATATCCATAATCGCTCTACTCTAGTTTCTGCCGATCCCGCGTACCCGCGCGCGGTGTTCTCACGCACCGTATTGCGTGGTACGATAATGTTGTACTTTCCTGTGCCGCGTACCCATTTTTGGCTTTCTTCTTCCTTTTTCTGTATTCTCCCTTCGACAAGAAGTGCTTCTCTTCCCTTGGTAGTTAGGAGACGGTTGTCGTTTTTTCTCTCTCAACTTCAGTTTATCCATGTAATTCTGGTGCCCCTGGCTTGCTGTGTCGTGGGGTGTTGGATGTGAGGAATCTTCATGCTTCCCGAAGATTCCCACACACTCACCCCCACCGTTAGGCGCTGCATCTGCCGCTAGGGTTTATCGGGTGTTAGCGGCCGTCGTGAGTTCCCTTCGGGAACGGACACGATAATTAACTTTACTTACTCACCATTAGGCACTGCATCTGCCGCTAGGGTTTACCAGGTGTAAGCGGCCGTCGTGAGTTCCCTTCGGGAACGGACACGATCATTTACTTCTGTTTACCCATGTGTGCAGCTCTGGAGTCCGATTTCACAAAGCATAAGTGCACCGGACCTCGGAACAGCTACAGTGTAGGTCAATTGACCAGCACACGGATTTGACTACGTATTGATGATGAATGTAAAAGTGAAGAACTAGTTTGGCGTGACAGTACACGGTACTTTGAGACAACTGTGGTCACCTTCATTTCAAATCATTAAAACTGTCCCCCAAAGGAAGTAATGGCGTTGACAGTTCCTCCATTCCAAGTTCATAGTGAGATGGTTACTCTAGTATACTAGTATTCGGATAACCTCAATCTGTCGACGCATCCTCTGTGGTCCTTTGTGGACTCGTCAGCGCAGCAAAGGGAAAATGGGGCCGAACCTGATATATGTAGCAATAAAAATATATAATCCAAAGCCAGATTTAAATAAGGCGCAAAAGCACATTACCAGAGTGCTCAAACTGCCACGTCAGTGAGCTGTGCATAACGCAGGCAAACAGCAAAGGCACTATCCCGCACGAAATTGCTCACCTACTACAGTTCTGGACATGGAAACCCAGTGGATTGACCTGGGCCGGCGTCCTCAGTGCGTACAGAACGTTGTGTACTACAGTCATGTTGATCTGATGTGACCAGTGTACTGCAGTGACCAGTGCACTGCAGTGACCAGTGCACTGCAGTGACCAGTGCACTGCAGTGACCAGTGCACTGCAGTGACCAGTGCACTGCAGTGACCAGTGCACTGCAGTGACCAGTGTACTGCAGTGACCAGTGCACTGCAGTGACCAGTGCACTGCAGTGACCAGTGTACTGCAGTGACCAGTGCACTGCAGTGACCAGTGCACTGCAGTGACCAGTGCACTGCAGTGACCAGAGCACATCAACATATACATGTACATGTAATGCATGTGTGTACTGCTTCTCCACGGCTGAATGGCCAGCGCCCTGGGGCCGCTAGACGTGTGACCGGATTTCCATGTCCACCATCGTACGACAGTACAAGAGCAGGAGCAAAACACCGAATTTTACGGTGTGTTGGGCTCACTGGAGTCTAAGCCGCACCCGCCTTTCCAGGTCCACCATCTGTATTTGTATTGCTATCCGCTGTATAAGCCACCCACCCGTCAGATTTCGCATGTTTTGGCAACCTAACTTTAAGATGGTTATCATCATAATACAGACAATGGTTAAAAGGTTGAGAAACATGACCGAAATTTTACAAAATTGTCTACTTTGCCGTTCACTCAGAACTGGCAACATGTACAATAAGAAGCTTTGCACCAGTACAATGATGGTCTGCAGTACATGAAGAGTAGCTGAACAACACCATGCATGCAGTATATTCATAGAGTGCTGTAGCGCTGGTAGTATTTCCTAGCATTCACAGTCTTAGCCGCAGGGGTGATTTTGCAGTTTTGTATGCATTTCAAAGTGCGGAAAACCCCAGAAATTCCTGTACTCTGCGGGCAGAATTGTTTTGCCCGTAGGCTTGTTTTTTGTTTGTTTGTGGTGGGTCTGATCTACTCACCTCCCACCGCTTAGGAGCTGCATCTGCGCCTTGATCCAAGAGGGTGATGGCGTTCCTGCGGATGCGGAAAACTGGGCCTTTGGCCGAGTCTCACACGAACCGTGAAGTTTTTGTTTTTTTGTTTTTTTGTTTTTTTGTTTTACATGAGAATTTTCAACCCGGGTTGAAAGTCTGTACAAGGGAACAAATAAGTGGGTGCTCACATCAAGACGGTTGACTCTCGTCAAATACTGATATGCCGCCAAAAGTCCACTTCTAGAGTCCTATTATAGTCACGTGAAAGCATCCGCGCACAATGTTCCTGTGCAGTGCTGTTCAAACTTGGCGCGAGATACGCACAGAAGTACGGTAGTAAGATTTCTCGATGTCAACCCTCCCCGGGCCTGAGGGGAGGGTTGATATCCACCCCGTTTGAAATTTCAACCCGGATCAAGCGCAATGCTGCATATTAACGCTTCAGTCAATCTGTGTTCAGGGTGAGATGAAACTTGACCCTGGCTGAAACGCCTCATGTCAACACAGCCTAGTGGACTCGCCAGTGCAGCACAGACAAACGAGGCCAAACCGTATACTTTGGTATATAAAGTTTGTATTTTTAGGCCTGCAAGAAAATAAAGGATTGCTCAAACATACACACACACACACACACACACACACGCACACACACACACGCACACACACACACACACACATACGGTCTCTGAACTGCAATAAAGAAAATAAAAAAATCGGCCCTTGGCATTATCAAGATTGACTTTGAAATTGAAAGAAAGTTTACTAATAAAATCTGTCTCATTGTGTGTATACTGTATTTACCAGTGTACATGTATAAGCCGCACTTACAACGCTCAAAATACACTCAAAAATGTGGGTTGCGGCTTATACTCCGATGATTGGTAATAATACTAGGGTTGATGTTTGTATTTTGTGGAAAACAATTTGGGCAGCGACTTATACTTCACTGTGACCTATACTCTGGAACATACGGTATGTGTGTGTGTGTGTGTGTGTGTGTGTGTGTGTGTATGTGTGTGTGTGTGTGTGTGTGTGTGTGTGTGTGTGTGTGTGAGTGTGTGTGTGTGTGTGTGCATGAGTTCAAGTGAGTGCATGGTGCGTGTTTTTATGTGTGTGTGTGTGTGTACCTGTGCGGGGGGGGGGGCGTGTTCGCGTTCTCGTGTGCCACACCCGATTCTGCTCGTGACTTGAACACTGTTGGTCCCTTCGGTACCTTCTATCATCTCTGGATGGGTATATTCTATTCTATTGTAATGTATGTGTACTTCAGAAGTATATGACTGTGTATGTATGTGGTGGGTGTTTGTGTGGGCGTGTGTGTATGTGTGTGTGTGTGTGTGTGTGTGGTGGGTGTTTGTGTGTATGTGTGTGTGTGTGTGTGTATGTGTGTGTGTGTGTGTGTGTGTGGTGGGTGTTTGTGTGGAAATGCATGTGGTGGGTGAATGTGTGTATGCCGGTATGTGTGTGTGTGTGCGTGTGTGTGTGTGTGTGTGTGTGTGTGTTGTGTTTATGCCGGTATGTGCGTGTTGCCTATGTCATACCCTGTTAGGTGTTCACTTCTGACACATTCTCTCACGTGGCTACCTTCGGTTCAAGGAGTTGTCTTCCTCATCCGCAGGGCATTGCAGTATCACCCAGTGGTACTGTGTATGTCAGTAACTGGGTAAAGCACTGTATCACAATGTTCTAACTTTTGTCCTGGAGCATCTTGTTTCTTGTTCTACACGAATGTTTCTCACTGCTGTGAAACATGAACAGGACCAGTATTAGTAGTTTTGTTTGCTCAGGCTTTACTATAGTATTTCATTATTTTTTGTGTGACACAACGAGTATGCATAACCTTGCCAGTAACTAACATGTATTGTGCAGGCCAACAGTAGATCCAGCCAAGTCCTCACCGACTGGACTTAAGATGATGAACGTACATGTAAGAACATTGCCAATTACTGTTTATCATACTTGCATGATTGAATGTGTGCTTGCGTATGTGTGTATGTGCTTGTGTGTGTGTGTGTGTGTGTGTGTGTGTGTGCATTTGTTTGTGTGTGTGTGTGTGTATGTGTGTATGTATGTATGTATGTGTGTGTGTGTGTGTTTGTGTGTGTGTTTGTTTATGCGTGTGTGCATGTGTATGCATGCATTTGCTGATGAACTCCTGCACTGAGTTGTATATATACATTGTACTTGGATCACTCTCATTGTTACAATCCTATTCTCGATGTGCAGAGGATGATTCTATTGATTGTGTTAGCTGGGTGCTCTTTTTCCTTTCTCTGAAAATCTATTGCATTTCAGCAAAATGTCTCGCTATGAGGTGTCGCAATACATCATTCAGTTTTTATGTCACTTTTGGATACAATGTAGAACATTCAGAATGTCTGAGGTGCTGTTTTTTTTCTATCATGTTTTGTGGTGCTTTGTGTTAGTATCTTTATTTTAGAAATGTTTCAAAACGTTTTTTTATAACTGCTGCTGCATACCCTTGTTTGATCTGAAGAGATGGAGTATTGTTAGTTGTCTGATGATTGCCTATGGAGTATGGCCATGAAACGCTTAGTTATAACGATGATGTGTGGTGCTCTGTGGTACTGTGTACATGATCAATCTGAGCTACTGCCGTGGATATAGAAATCCAGTCGAATGATTGGGGTTGACTGGGGTTGACTGGGGTTGACTGGGGTTGAATGATGTTGACTGGGGTTGACTGGGTTTGACTGGGGTTGACTGGGGTTGACTGGGGTTGACTGGGGTTGACTGGAGTTGACTGGAGTTGACTGGGGTTGACTGGGGCCGGCGCCCTCAGCCAGTACAGAACGTAACATTGTTGCATGCAGTGCACCTTGATCCGGTCATGCGACCAGCAGCGCATTACATGTTCGCGTGTGCTGCTAACCAACGGCTGGATGGCCAGCACCCTGGGGCCGCTAGGCGTGCGACTGGATTTCCATATCCATGATAGTATTCGCAAAAATATTACAGCCGTGTGAATGGCAGTTAGAGTATTCGCAACAATATTACAGCCGTGTGAATGGCACTTAGAGTAATAGCAACAATGCTACAGCCGTGTGAATGGCACTTAGAGTGATAGGAACAATGCTACAGCCGTGTGAATGACACTTAGAGTAATAGCAACAATGCTACAGCCGTGTGAATGGCACTTAGGGTAATAGCAGCAATGCTACAGCCTTGTGAATGGCTCTTAGAGTAAAAGTAAAAGCAACAATATTACAGCCGTGTGAATGGCACTTACTAGTTAGAGTAATAGCAACAATTCTACAGCCGTGCTATTAGAGTAATAGCAACAATGTTACAGCCGTGTGAATGGCACTCAGAGTAATAGCGACAATGCTACAGCCGTGTGAATGGCACTTAGAGTAATAGCAACAATGCTACAGCCGTGTGAATGGCACTTAGAGTAATAGCAACAATACTACAAGTAGTATAGGGGGAGGGGGTTCTGGCTCACCTTCCAGGTGAGCCAAAATCGACTTTCTCGATCGGCCCTTCGGGCCTCCCTCCCAAGTCTCCCCCCTCCTCCTATACTACTATACTAAAGGATAGACTCCCAAAGTACTAATATTACAACTCCAAGTACTAATTTTACACCTCCAAGTACTAATTTTACAACTCCAACCACTGATCCCATGTTGGCTCAACCCAGTTCCAGAAAAGTGAGTCAACTTGCTGTCTCCGAGAAAATCGGAAGTGAGCCAACTTGAGCTTTTTCACTTACCCCATCTTGGCTCACTTTGAGGACTGATGTGGGGCCGGTTTCTGAGCCAACTTCGGGTGGTTCAGCTTTGGATGATGATCCTAATTATTCTGTATTAGAGGAACGGTTGCCATAGGTATAACCAACGATTCTACACAAACTTTCCAAGATGACAAGCAAGAAACCAACCCCGTTTGACACAGCTGCTATTCTCACTGACTCCATTGATTGTCGAATTACAATCAAGGATGGGAATAAATGTGGATCACTGACAATCAATGATAAGGAACAATACATCAAATTCACTGATGAGACAAATATCATGAATGTTGTGAAGAAAGGACAAGAGGACTCTCTGAAATTTTCTTCGGACAGTGACATTTGTAAATCCATCCGTTGTATCGAGAAGCAGATAGAATCCGAAGGAAATGCGGTTAGAAGCAGAATTAACACAGCAAAATGTGAGCACCCAATCCTGTTTATCCAAATTTCTCCTGATTGTGCTATCTTTGATGAGGACAACAAACCATCAAAAACCAACAAGATCAAGCAAGGTGACACCGTCAATGGTATCGTTCACCTGAAGTGGGTTTACAAAGACAAGACCGATGACACTCTCAGTCTCAAACTTGTTGTTGTTGCTATAAAGCATTTCCAGAAAGAAGAAGTGAAATTCTCAGCAAATGATTTGTAAAAAATAGTCAAACAATCCACAAAAAGCAAAAAAGCAAAAAATATTTTTTTTAGAAGTGAAATCATGGATGCCTGGTTTGATGACGACTACTCCACAAACAAAGAAGAAGAAGAAGTGATGGATACATGGATAGATGATGAACACTCTACCAGGAAAGATAAGATGATAGCGGACTACATTGACTATAGAAACCAGGAATGATTTCCTACAGATATAGAATTGAGGATTTTGGAAAATGAAGTAACTCCAGAGGATCTTGAGGTGTATGAGATGAAGAAAAATGATCTGTATGATACCACATCTTTCTTCGAAGAAATAGAAAAATCCAAAACCAGAACAGGAATCGAAACAAGGTTGGAGATAACCCTGAACAAGGTTGGTTTACCAAAATATCTTAGCAAAACCCCATTCAACAATCTTGTTGATGAAATTCAGCGGATCAAGGTAGTAGCAAATAAGGAGAAAAAAGTCAAAGTGAGTTATCCATTCCTACTTTCGAAACTCATTGATGATGAAGATGATGTGATCAAGATCAAACCATTCATTCCAAAGTGTAAAAAGTCACAACAAAGACTTGATGCCATATGGGAGAACTATAGAGAATCGAAAGTGTAAGAAAAGTAAAAAAAATGTCTTTCTTTCTTTTTCCTTTTTTTCTTTCTCATGATCACTGGACAAACTGCTTCATCATATCCGGAGCATAACTCATGAATGAAATGCTGCTATGAAACCCCTCCTCAGCTAGATATCTTGGTATTTCATGGTGTCCGAACGCTAACGTACTACATCCATCTTCTGTGATGTATCGTTTTGTGTCCAATGGTGATAAGGCTATCTCATTAACCGTTTCTCCGAAAATAACGTGTCTATGACTCCGGAGTGTTGTCATTTCTCGATGGAACACGGATTGATCCAAGAGACAATTTCGGAAATCATCATGTGTGATAGTTTTCTTGAGCACTGCTGTTTTCACCCCCTTTGCTCTTTTTCCACTTTCCTCACCAGAGTAACTGTACATCTTGGAACGAAGTCCTACAAACTCAGTGATCAGTTTTCCACCGAGTTCATCTTTGAACAAGCCAACAACTTTCTTGTTTTTCTCAGAATATAACGGATGTGATTGATCATAATTGCTTGTATCATACTTCTCAAGAAACTCACTCATGTCATCAAACAGATTATCAGTAAAGAAATGAAGAACCAAGCTGTCTGTATCGGTGTACAAGAGTCTCACATCAGAGCCATACATCACTTTCAGGTGATTGTAGTAAAAGTCATACATGAGTGCCTTTGAGAGATCCAAAATCGACATCCCAACATATATGGGCTTGTTGAGGACGACCTTTGTCCTGTTACTTTGTACCCCGACCAGGTCATCATTGAAGATCACATGGCGGTTGTACGTTGGTTTGGCAACAAGCTGTTTGATTTTTTTCTCCTCACGACTTCTCAGCAATTTTATGTTGACTCTCCTCCGAACGTTCTCCATAGTTTTCCCGAACACCGCATTGTTCATCAGTTTATAGAAATCCTTAGAGAAATCATCCTTTGCCTTCTTCCGGATGTCTGTATTCTTCTCGATGTAGTTTCTCATCCACGGTGTCTGAGTAAATTTCAGAGCACGATGAATTTTGACACAACGTAGTCCGAGCTGAGTGTAGAGTTTCAAGTTTCGGTAATGGAGAACGTACTTTGTCTTGTCCCTCAAGTTTGGTACAAGTTTGAGAGCATCTACTCCGGAAGAATTGAGTTTATCAACAAGCTCCTGCTGGTATGGAGAAAGCATGTCTTCATTGACGGAAAGACGTTCCGGTGCAACGGGATAATCGTTGTGCTTCTCATGAAGTTCGTGTGGATAATCCAGATCACACTCGACGATATACCCCGATGAGGAATCATCTTGAGTATTCAGTATCTTATTCAGGAGTTTCTCTGATGGTTTCTCCCACCGAAAATCAGACACTGGGAGATGCTGTGACATTGCCCAACCATAGAGATTGTTGGCATCGAGATACTGGATAAATGACGATGGCTGATCAGCATCATATTTCTCCTGATAGTGATTATTAGCAGCAGCATATCGTTGTGAGACCATCGACACACCGCCTCTCATTCCTGATTCTACAAACAAGTGCTGATCATAGTCTGTTAGTAATTCCAAAGACACACCTGAGTACATCAACAGAGCATCCCAGGCAAATCCAGGCAGAGTGTAGTAATTTGCTGGATCCAGCTGATACGTTCTGACAGCTTCTACTCTGAAATTCTCAAAGATGTCAGCCAAGAGAAACACGTCGGTCTTGAGATACAAGTCGTGATAATCACCAAGAGTCTGACAGTCGAATTTCATCCACATTGTCTCAGCATGTTTGTAGTCATCGTCACTCACCCCCTCATCAGACAGTGAAGAATAGAACTTACTCTGTGCTGGTAGCTGAGTCTCATCGAACCTGGAGAAGCTGTTCATGTACTCATAGGGGTATACTCCTTTCCTCATCAACAGCTGATGGTTTGACAACGTCTTGGTGTGAGTGAATGACTCATCTGGTGTCGTTTTCACCAGTCTATCAAGTGAGGCATTGAGAAACTGACAGCTGTCGATGAACCGGAACTGTCTCCATGTGAATGAGATGAATTTCTCCATGTTGTTGGGAATGACTGATATCTCACCCACAGTTTTACTCTTACACACACCATCCTTATCCGTGTATGTGACGGTCTCAACATCTGTCTTTCCGATTGCTCCGATGAGATGATGACTCTCATAGCCTTTCAGGTTGTGAAAAACCACAGGGATGTGCTGCTTGTATGGAGAAATTCTCAGTTTGATGTTACAGTCATTGGGTGCGGCACCGCGGAAATCACCAGTGATGTGGTCGTGATCACGGACTCTGTCATCACCAAGTTTCTTTTTACAAATCCAACAGTCTTCTGTCTCTCTGAACAATTCTTCTTGTTCCTTAGTGAGATCCATCGGTGCTGGATTATTGAGTGCTGATTGGATTTTCTTCTCCTCAGCTTTGAGTTTATCAAAGAATACATCCATGGCATCAGCACCCCGGTAGAAACACTGACTTGTCATCACTTCGTCAGAACGCACCACGACATAACCAAAACCACAAGGAACATGCTGTGAATCCCGGCTGGTTTGTTGGCTTTTCACTCCATCAATTTTCTTGATCTTGAACTTCAGTGTTGATAGATTTCCATAGTCATCCGGTTCTGGTAGTACCATGTGTGCTGATAATCCAGTGACATTATCACAATACTCCTGATGATTGCTCAGGGATTTCTCTGTGTTGTGTGGTCGGAGATATCTTGTACAGAAGAATTTCCTGGCTTTATGCTTTGACTGATCGTAGCACAATCTACTGAAATCTTTGATCCAAAAGTAGTGATTCTGATCTTCTTTTTGGTATAGTAGAAGATTGATCACTTTCTCACCTCTTTTCTTTGTCAGCAGTAGTGGATAGATCACGTTATCCTCATACCCAAAGACATTGATAGCTAGGTTGTTTTGCTTCTCGACTTTGGAAATCTGACTCAGTGGTGTTGGAAAATCGATTCCGAACAGATCAAGTTTGTTGCTATAGTCTGTATACTGAGTTACCCTGTCACTATTCTTCTTTGCTGGATACAGAGCTGAGAGCAGTGCCCACATCAGACATTTATCATCCCTATTCTTGACATTGATGATTGCCTTCTTTTTCTTGAGCTCGTTCGGTAAATCAATGTAGGATTTACCTTTCATTGGCTGATATGCTGCTACATCAACGTAAAATCTGGTGATGTGATTGATGTGCCAGTTTGATCCATTCTGTATCCACTTATCGATATTTCTATGAATTTGTGAGTGTGACGTTCGAATACCGTCATCAATCTCATGGGATGTTGTGACTGTCATTGGTCCACTCCTGAAGTATGGTGTGTCTGTGGTTGTTATGTCATCTCATTTCTCCATTTCTACTTGTAATGTCAGACTGACTTTCACACCTTTGAGATTTTCCAGTTCTTTCTGTATCAATGTTCTCAGCGGGATGTTGATACTATCAAAGAATATAATACAGATCTGGATGATTCTCTTTCGGTTCATAGATGAACGATTTCAGAATCCCTTTGGGTACTGACTTTGAGACTGTGAACGGTGGTGTGACAATCGGTTTCCTCTTCTTCTTCCGAATCTGTTTCCGAATCTGTTGCTTGAGAAGTTCCCGTTTCTTTATTTGCTCTAATTTTTTGTGAATCCACCGCAGTTGTTTCTCAGTCTTGAGTTTCTTCCCATCGGCTGTTACGCATGCATTGAACGCGGCCAGAATCCTCTGGGCACGAGGCCGCAGGTGACCTGCTGAGAATGCATTGAGGACCACTTGACATGTTTGAAATTTGTCCTTGACAGCCTCATTGTTTTAGGGAAGTATCTCACGAGTTGCCGTCGTGTTAGGGGCCACGAGTATTGTTTCAGGCCGATTACTACGAAGGTTTTGGTGTTTTACACTCACGTGCAGCTTGTTCTCTCAAAAGAAATTGTCGAAGTCGAAATAGTTGTCCGTGCCGGATCGTTCTTCTTCTTCTTGTGCTTCACTGTGTGGATGTCATCGATGGTCTCCAGCGACTTCTGGCAGCTATGAGTGTGGGTGCCTCTTTTTTGTAAACTTCAGTTCTTGTTGGAGTACGAAGGTAAGGTCTTTATGTTGTGTGAGGAGTCGTCCTCGTAGCTTTACGCTTCTTTACGATTGTTTTTTTCAGGCCAGTTTGTAATTGCCTGTCTAAAAATATAAAATACCAAAAACAATCCTGCACTTTGTCTAGATAATTTGGTGTCACCACGTACTATTGTGGCTGACATCATCAAGCAGTCAGTCTTGAAGTGCGATTTCTACGAGGCGCCGCTAATAGGCTGCCCAGTGCAGGTGAGGCTTTGCGACCTAAAGAGCCACGTTGAGAATTGTTCTCACAACCCAAGCACCCCATCCACTCCTATTCAGAGAGTAGTGTCTGAATCCTCCACCATTGGTGATGTTCTAGGCGCTTCCCACTCAATGCTCTCTGGGAAAGTGTTTGATGCCCTGACTAAACGTGTTGTCGAGAGCAGTGCAGAGGGTGACAGACTTGAGGTCCGTGGAGGTGGTGGCCCTCCTGCTGTTTGGACCCGCACCCCGGTTACAAGGGTGTTTTCCACCGATTGCAGTGGTCGTACTTCACGGAGACGGTCATCCATGACGTCCTCCTTTACACATTGCAGGAGAAAGTGTTTAGTGATCTCTGTTCTGCACCCGCACATGTCATCTCCAAGAGAGCAGAGGCTAGTGCAGAAGGTGCGAGTGCAGGACAGAGAGATCGAGTGACGTGTTTGGTGCAAGCTGCTACTGTTCTTAAGGACCGCTATGTTTCATTATTTTCTAAATTTGCAGCTTGGCATGTAGGATTGTCCACCAGTGTAAGTCCGAATGTTAACTCACTCTCACAACTGCGTGCCAATATTTCTGCTTTTCTTGCAGCTTGCCGGCAGGAAGTTGTCTCGCGTGGTCGTGGCAACGTCACACCAAAGCTTCACCTTCTTGAGGCCCATGCAGTCAGCTGCTTGGAAAATTTCCAAATGGGGATGGGGCTACTGAATGAGCAGGGGGCAGAGTCCATCCATGCTGCCTTCAATCAGCTGGAGCGAAATCATTCCTCCATACGAAACACGGCTAACCGGCTGTGTGCATGTGCACAAGCACACGTCTTGAATGCGCTGCCACAGCACACTCTGCTTCTGCCACGGACGCAGAGACGCAAGCGTAGCAGAGAGCCCTGAACATAGCACTAGTACATTCCGACGACCACGTGTGTTGTAGTGCGTTATTTTGTGTGCGTCGTGTGTACGTGGTGTTGGTGCATGCGCGTGTTGCGGTGGTGTGAAAAGCAGTCTTCGTTATTACAAGACGACTACGGAAAACAACTGGACATGACGAACTCAAGACGAAGACTGCTTTTCACACCACAGCAACCTGGCAACACACGCATGCACCAACACAACGTAAACACGACGCACACACAATAACGTACTACAACACATGTACACGTACTACTACTAGTACTATAGTAGCTTATTTCTAGTATGAGGTTGTTGGTGCCCAGCAAAATTCCATCCTCTGTGCTGTGCCAGAGCTTCAGTTTGTATCACTGTGGAAGCGGGTGAGTGGCGGGTTTCCTCAGGCTGGCAATTCGCTGCATCACTGCAATGTGCTTCTACTGTTAGTGTTATAGCTCCAAGCAGTGACTACAGGTACCGGGTATTGAAGCTCGAGGAGGGCAGGCAATAATCACAATGGTCATGCTTCGTACGATTGTTCGTTCCGAGATCCTGGGCTGACCCCATGTGTTGATTCTATAGAACCAGTGCTGCCAGTGTCCCTCAACTAAACCGGCAGTCCGTTCAGAGTTTAGACAGATCAAGCACCATCTACTTTTATTTCTGTTCAAAATATCCAAGAAATCACAAAGTACAATTCCATGAACGAGATGCTTCGAAGACGAAAACAAATCCAATGACAATGTTCAATGCTCCTTTCAAAAAAAAAGAAAAAAATCGTAGACCTAGATTCGAGTCCACGATCAAAGCGGCTTCATTTTGCTCGCGTGACTCCAGCGGCCATCTTGGATTCTGGCCGCGTCGTAACAGCCGTGTCATAGGTGATAGTGAGTTTGCTCAGGTCAAAATCCATCTTTACACTACACAAAGATTTTTTCAATCAGTGATAGCATTACTGTATAATCGCTACCCTCTTAGGGCCGATTCCCACTACGGTACCGTGAGTGCCGTGCCGACGATTTGGGTAGGTCACGTGTACCCCACGGTACGAGCTTGAAGCTGAGAGTGATTTACACCTGCGCCCAATCATTCCGTGCATTCCGTCGGCAGGCCGGATCACCATTTTTATCAATTTCTGACTTTGGTCCTGAGGGAAAATAGCGGGGGGGATGACTGGAGAAAGCTCAAGAATCAACCAATCGAAAAGCCAAAAGCCAAGAAAAAACTTCGTACCACAAATACAAAAGAAAGAAAAAACTTCCTTTCAGGGAGTAGTAAAATACCTACTACTCACTGCATTCGACCTCACGGAATACCACGGCATGCCATTTCCACCCCCCGGAGACCCTCGGCACCGGAATGTCCACGGCGCGGTACGGCAGGAGCCACGGAATGAACTCGCGCCAAAACTGCCCCTCACGTGAGCAAATCACCATGGGTACTCACGGCACGGCACTCACGGTACCGTAGTGGGAATCGGCCCTAATAGAGGATAAATCTGACCGTGGATTCGAGTCACAAGATCGTGGGTTCGAGTCTCGGTTTTGGTTTTGGGTTTTTCTTTTCTTTTTTTCTCTTCTCTTCTTTTTTCTCTTCTCTCTTTTTTTTCACAAGACACGCTCATCGGCATGCGTTCTCAGAAACAGGATTCAGACATGCGCATTGTGGCATGTGTTCTCAGTTTCTTGTTGTGAAACAGGATTCAGACACGCTCATTGGCATGTGTTCTCAGTTTCTTGTTGTGAAACAGGATTCAGACATGCGCATTGTGGCATGTGGTCTCAGTTTCCGGGATTCGAACCCGTGACTCTCGATTTCTTATCCTGTGTGTAGTACATTCACCAACCAGGCTATCGGAGTCAAACACATATTTAGTTGTTTATGCCTAATAGTACTGACAAGAGTCCGGATCCGGTGTTGTTGCCAGTTAGTAGGTCTACCCCGTGATTTTGTTTTCTACAAACAAATCTACTGCTGTGATCCGTGATCATAACCAACTGAGTTGATCAAACGGGACCCAGTCCGAGTCGGAGCTTTTCCAGAGCTCACATATTTTTCAGTTTCCGAGTCGGAGCTTTTTCAGAGCTCACATATTTTTAAGTTTCGGTCGGAGCTTTTTCACAACCAGCTGAGTTGATCAAACGGGACCCAGCTGTCGAATCTTGCCGAGTAGCCTTTCCACCTCACAAGGGCTTGTTTCTTCTTGTTGTCCTTTCGGAGCACTTTCTCGATCCGGTAGATTTCTTGAGTAGTTTTCTGGAGCGCTTGTTCATAGAACGACCCATCAACGGGTTCACCATCGAGGTCCTTGACAGAGTACGTAGTGGGTCTGGTCGGGAGAATATCGGTGATCCGGAATACCTCCTCGGTCCAGTTCGGAGTGTATGCTTTCTCGAAATGTCGTTTCTGCTTCACCAGTCGGACGTGGTCATCTATCTGGAATTTAGTGGACCTGGATAGTGGAGATTTCTCACCCAGTGAGTCACGGATTCGATCGGCGTTCTTCTCCCGTGATGCCTCAGTTGGTGTCATCCGAACACCTCTGTGTTTTGTCGTGTTGTACTTCTCTACCAAATGTGGAAGGACATCGATGTACCTGCTGGTGGAATTAGCACTGAAGTATTTCCACATCCTGGTTTTCAGAGTTCGGTTGAAACGCTCAACTACAACCGCCTTTCCTTCGTTGTGAGTGCTGTACATCGTGATCTGATTCTCATCAAGCCAGTGTTTGAACGTTCGATTAAAGAACTCGGTACCCTGATCAACCCACAGCTTACGTGGTTTCCTGCTGCTAGTTTTCACGATGGATCGAAATGCTGATTGGATGTCAACACCTTTCTTGGATTGGAGTGGGACAACCCAAGCATATCGGCTGAACAGATCAATGACAGTAAGCAGAGATTTGATTTTATCATTGTATTTACGAAAAGCTGTCATGTCCACGAGATCGGCAGACCAGATTTCATCAATCTCACTCACAGTCACTTGTCTCCTTGTGAAATTCACACGCTTCGGTTTATGTAACTCATCAGCCAGGTCATCAGTCCATTTCATATCTATCTTTTTTTTACTTCTTAACCTATCATCTTGAACAAACCGGACAGGAATCC